ACTTTCCAGTTGTGTGTTATTACAACTGGTAGCCATGTGAGATCTCTGCTGTATATATTGTGAGTATCAGGACAGGGTATAAGCATGTCCTTGGGATCCAGGCTTGAATTTGGAAAAGCCATAAGCTTATTAGCACATGGTACACAGTGAGTAGTAGATGCTCAACTGCTACTATGGGGTACAAGACCTGGACTGAGCAGGAAAAGAACATAGTTTGGGGTGTAAGGGTACATATTGGTTCCTTAGCTTTACATCAGACAATTGGCAATTAGCCAGTGGGAAAACTAGGGGCAGATAGAAGCTGAGAGTTCTTTTCATCACATTTGTTGCTGCTATATGTGTGCGCTGGTGGCAACCAAGACAGGCCTTCCATGTAATAAAACTCTCATTGGCTATATATTGCATTTTGTACATAGTCTGTGTGGCTAGCCAATGTGATATAAGTGAAACTAAACTAGAGTTAAGAGAGAAGATCTTTTTACCATTTCAGAAGGGCAGACAGGATAAATAGAAAGTGTCGTTCAGTCCATATATAGAGAGGGGTGAGTTAGATAGGAGTGGTATGTCTTTCTCTGCATTATCACTGATGAGTGTCTCAGGTAGATTAGTCTTTCAGGTCTGTGAAGTTGTACCTCTTTTCTTGGTGCTCTGTGTTTAGTGACTGAAAACGCATGTTAAGTGAAGTAGCATAAGGCTTACTTTCTCCACAGTACTTTGCAATGGACATGCCCTTCAGGAGAAGTCTATGGGGAATAGATAGGCTAGATGAAACCAAATATGAATGCTGTCTTCTGGAACAAGGGCATGCTTTTTATCACTGCTGCTTCCTGCAGGCCTTCATTTCAAAACGCTTGGGCAGATCAGTTCTCAGATTTCCAGCTACTGGTTTTGCTAACAGAAGGGCAATGTCCAAGAAGTTTGAGGATTTTATATTTGTTAGTCCTTGTGACCATTAATATACCCCAGAAATGGATTCATTTCCATTACAGAAATGTATTTTATTACAATAGTCCTGGAGATTAAGCTTCTAAGTTTCTAAAACAGTGGGGTTACACCAATGACTGAGACCACAATCGTGCCCAGTGTAGCTTTCTGTAGAAAATGGGGGTTGGTGAGTACCATTGCATCAGCTGCTATAGTGATGGAAGAGGTAAGTTTTCTTGACTTTTTTAGAATTCTCATTTTTTGTCCTCTGGCTCTGTATACTGGAGGACTTTTCTAGATGTGGATGGTTTTGCAACCTTTTTATGAAACCAGGCCATACAATATTTTTGTGGATATATTTGTGCCTTTGGACTGTTAGGGAAAATCCAAATAGGAGGTGTACAAAGTTACTGCTAATTGCATACCTAAGTGGCCTCCAGAGACTCTGACATGAACAGGGGAATGTATAGTTCTCAAGGGCATCCTAATAAAGGGAAAGCCATGCAAATTAATTAGCAAGAAATTTACTGATTGTTCGCTGCTTTTTCCCCCCCGACCCTTCCTCTTTGCAGCACAATGGCTGACAGCAAAACGAAGTCCGCTAAATCTGCAAATAAGACTCCTCCAAAGTCTCCAGCAGATCCAGTAAAGGAGAAGGCAGCTAAACGGTTGTCCTGCGAGTCCAACAGTTCCCATGAGGGGGCCGTGGCAGGAGAGCTCAGTGCCCTTGAAGAGGCTTTTAGAAAATTTGCCATCCATGGAGATACCAGAGCCACAGGAAAAGAAATGCATGGGAAGAACTGGTCCAAGTTATGTAAGGACTGTCATGTGATAGATGGGAAGAATGTGACGATCACAGATGTTGACATTGTCTTCAGTAAAATCAAGTAAGTTCTTTTTCCCTCTGCTCCATTCCTTGTCCCTAATGAGCTTTTTTTTTTTTTTCTCTCCAAAAAGCTTTTACTGATATGACTAGCATCTGCAAGCAATAACAGGTATTATATACATGTTCTTCTGATACACTGACTCTTTCCTAGTTGCTCTAAGACGCACTCTCTGTTGCTTTGAAAGTGAACCCAGTCCACAAGCATTCATTTTTTTTGTCTAGCCTGAATGTTACAAGTGTTTGTTCTGAAGAAGCCAAAGCATTGGAGCTGATGCGGTATATAAGCCATATATAGCATTTTACTCTTTCTTGGAAGACCAGGAAGCAGATTCACCAAATCAGACAGTTTAAAATAACAGCCATGTGCTCCAGTCACATACTGTTTCCCACTCTGAAGGTGGGTTTATTAAGCAGCAGAACTGCAACAGTGCAGAGTAAGATGGACCTTTCCAGCTTTCCAAAAGTGGGAAGACATAGCTTTTTCTGGCTAATGGGAGAGGTGCAGGAACAGATCCAGGAGTACAGTGGTGCAGTCGCACCCCCTTTCAGACCGCCCTGTGAGAGCAGCAGCTAGGGACTTCTTTGAAATCCCCAAATCAAAAAGAATTCCTCCCTTCCCACTGCCTGCTCTCAGCACCCCTCTTTCCCTTTCAGTGCTTAGCAACTTGTTCCCCCCCACCCCTACCCTCACCTCTGCCACTGTCTCCGCTCTTTTCAGTTTCCCCTGGGGCTGGGGGTGTTCCAGAGGCCATCCCTGCCTTGCTTTAGCCAGGTTGTTCAGGAACACCTTAGGACAGCAGTTGTGATAGCAGTGGGCAGGTTCCCCCTTCCTGCTCAGTCCCCCAGGGGGTTGGTTCCCTGCTAGCCCTGGAGCAGACTCATGGAGGGGAATCCACCTGGTGCAGCTGCTGCTGTTCCCAGCTGAGCACAGTTAGTGGAGCAAGAGTGGCTCTGGCGCTCCCCTACCCCTGGGTCAGCTTGGGACAGTAGCAGTGGTGGACAAGGAAGGGGGGGAATAAGTAATCTTGTTAGAACCTCTGCTCTTCATTCATGCAGTAACTCTTACCCAGCATCTAGCTGTCACTGGGGACAAATTTTAAGTAGTGTCGCCTATTCTAGGTACGTCTCTTTGAACTTTCAGTAACAGGGTTGGGGGCATAAAGGTTGCTTGGGGGCTTCAGTTTGCACATTCTGTGCAGGTACAATTAAAGGAAGCTTGATACAAATGTTGGCTCTGTAGACTCTATCAAAGGATAAAGAAACAGAGGAGAAAAGGCTCTTGACCTTTTGCCGGCCATCTTGTGTGATGTGCAGTATTCACATGATTTCATTTAATCAATTCTTGAATGACTCTGTTGTTTATGGTTAAACAACCTTGTCCACTAGTTCTTTTCCTAGCATTTTTAATCATCTGAGGGGGGGAACATGCTGCATTTGTGGCAAGAATGTTTCCTTTCACATCTGTTTGCTTCTTGCTCCCTCTTTGCATCTAGGCAGTCAGCAATGCCACGTGTGCTCCAACCTCTTTGTTTTTGGATGAGTCTCTGTATCTCTCTGTATGTCTCTCCTGTTGTTCCCTGACAGTGTTGGCTGGAATTCCTGTTGCCATTACCAAGCACCATACTTCAAGTGGAATGTTATCAATTAACTATCCCGTTTTAAGGTTGGAAGTGTGAGGGCTTTAGGGTTTTATGAATTTGATGGATGATGGCTCTGTTTATTTTGAAGTAGTTTTTGACCCATTTAAATCTGCTTTAGCAGGAAATAACAGATCTTATGGCTTTTCTCAGGCTCGTTTCCATGTGGCTAGTGGTGTGAAAGCTCCAGTATATTCTAACGTATTGCCGTGCTCTAGATTTAATGGATTCTGAAGGTGTGATGCACGGTGGGGTGGAGTAGATCTACTCCTGGTCTGTGGAGTAAAGTGTGACTTATTGGGTGCAAAGGCTAAAGAGAGAACAAATCAATGGCTAGCCATGCCCTTTCTATTCCCAGTGATCCCTGTTTGCTCAGTGGTGTCTTGTGCGATTTATTGTTGTAGTAGTCCAGAGATTCCTAGTCTTCTCAACTTTTCTGGAAAAACCAGGATTACAGTCACTCGTGTGCAGCTCATGCAGAAGTAATTATGTTATATTTTTGAAGAAACACAGCCCTGGAGAGCTGGCTGTTCTGATACAGCTATCTTCCATTCTGGTTGTCAGCTTTTTGTATTCCTGAAGCTGTTTTTTAATAGTCAGAAAATTAAAATAGTTGAAATAGGGGAAATTAACAAAATCAGATGTTCTGCTATTGGTATTTCATTGTCCAGGCCTCCCAGTGTGGTTCTATCATTTAATATAGCTATCTGCTTTTTCAATGAGGCTTCTTACTGTGGTTCCAGAGGCATGAATTAAAGATGCTCTCTAGACTTTTTGCCAAAGACAATTCCCTTGTGACACAGCTGTACACAGGCACTTGATCATTTGAGCTGCAGAGTCAAAGGTTACCTCCTATAATGCTAGCCACGTTACTCCCTTGTGTATTTTGGGCTACTGAAACTGTCATGTCTTAACTGTGCTAGTCTGATGAACTGCTAGACTCAGGAGGACCTCTGGCTGTTTTTGAACTCCTTTTCCAAGAGCTGTATTTCCAGCTTACTTCTAGATTTTGATTTTATTTTAAAGAGGTCAATGTAGTAGAAGCTGTCTTTTCACTAGGATGGCTAATGTATATAAAATGTGTGTATATATGCTAAGACATGAATCAAAATGAATATGCTACAAGATGTATTATTTATTTTATATATAATATAATGCATCTTGTAGCATATTCATTTTGATGCATGTCTTAGCAGGATCCATTCAGCCCTCAGAAGTGCTGAACACAGTGCACAGAAAACTTTTTAGTTAACTTAGTTAACTTTAATAAGAGCCTTTTTTTGTTTTATATGGATATTTAACAGGCCAGCTGCTGGAGTAGGGGTGCTCAACCCCTGGCCTGCAGTCCAGATCTGGACTGCTGAGCTATGCTGCCCAGTCCCTGGGGAGCCTGAAAATGTGATGGTGGGGGAGCTGTGGCAGCAACTGCTGCCTTTCTGTTGCCAAATTTTGGGACCCATGGGGAGCACCATGGGCCAGATAGCATGCTGAATCAGCATGCAGAGGTGGCCTGGGGCCTTGTCTGGGTACACAGGGTCTGGCTAGAGGTAGTGTAGGGCCTGATCCTGCAGTGTTGGGCCGAGCAGAGGCAGTTTGGGACTGGGCCCCTGATCTTGTGGTGTAGGGCCAAGGGAGGTGGGATGGAGCCCTGATTTGGCACTGGGGTACCCAATTTGCAGAGCAGGGCCTGATCCTGGCCCATGGATAGCACCCCTCCCACCCCTGCTCTGCTACTGGTCTTGCTTGTTGCACCAAAACGTTGAATATTGCTGTGCTAGAGCATTGGCATTATGTTCCCTAGGCTGTTCTCAGGGACACTTCTATACACAGTGGGTGTCCTGGATATGTCAATCCATGCAAAACTATTGCTACTTTTCTTTGGCTTTACATCCAACCAAAAACATCAAGGGCCAGATTCTCTGACTTACTAATACTGAGTAGCCCATAACTTCTGTTGAAGAGTCTCTTTTTTTGTCTACCTTAGGGTTATTTTCAGAGCACAGTGAAAGATTTTGGTGGCTGACTCTTTTCCCTCCGTTCTTCTTTTCCCCACAGAAAACTGGATTTGTGATTTATCTTGTTTTTGCAAAATCTACTTTACTTGAAAAACTTCATCTTTTACCAAGCTTACAACTAAGGTCTTTTGCTGGGTGGAAAAAAAAAATTCCATGGCCTGAATGGGAGCTGTATCTTGGGTGATAAGGGATTTGCAGAGTCCACCTGAATTGTTCAGCAAGAGGAGAGACGTTTGTGCATTGTGGGAAATAAAAGTCCAGACAGGGAGTCAGGTCCATAAGAAAAACAATGGAGTCATGAGGCCCAATCTACAGGTCCTGTGAAATATTGCAGAGGCTTTTCCAAATGCATTCTTCAAATCAATTCTTTTTTTTCTAACCAACTCTACTTGTAGGGCATGTTAATGGAATGTGTTGTGGAATCTGGTGAATATTTAGAATCATTCTTCAACATAATTAAACAGTAACTTTCTCACCCATGCATATATATGTGGGTCCCCCTCCATATATATGAATGGTAGAGTTAATTCAGTTGTCCTTCTCCCTTACAGGAAAAGTTTTGCATAAGGCCAGTGCCTTAGAACTGATATATCAGACTGGGTCTTATCTTGGATGATGAATACGTGGTAGGATCTGGTAACCTTTTTCAGCGTGGACAGTATTTGGTCGAATATTGAGGGATTGAATTAAGCTTCATTTTATTACTGGCTATGGATTGTGAAACCGTGTTAATTTTGCCTCTGAATTCCTATTAACATAATTATTGTGAAATGCTGTTAGTGTCTGTGTGGAACCATGAATTCAGATTGGATTGTTATTACTCCACTAGTTTTGTGTGAGAGGATACTAGACAGCAGTGGTGTTCATTTTTTTTTTTTTTTTTTTC